AAAATTCTTATTTGAAAGCTTCATGATGGAAACTTCATAATTGTGGGAAATTTTTATTAAAATGATATGGAAGTTCTTTATTGGGGAAACTTCATGTATGTAAGAATTCATTGTATGTGTTTACTTATGTCTTCATGTATGTGTGAGGAAGAGCCTTCATGTATGTGTGAGGGAAGCCTTCATGTATGTGTGAGGAAGGCTTCATGTATGTGTGAGGAAACCTTCATGTATGTGTGAGGAAGCCTTCATGTATGTGTGAGGAAGCCTTCATGTATGTGGTAGGAAGCCTTCATGTATGTGTGAGGAAGCCTTCATGTATGTGTGAGGAAGCCTTCATGTATGTGTGAGGAAGCCTTCATGTATGTGTGAGGAAGCCTTCATGTATGTGTGAGGAAGCCTTCATGTATGTGTGAGGAAGCCTTCATGTATGTGTGAGGAAGCCTTCATGTATGTGTGAGGAAACCTTCATGTATGTGTGAGGAAGCCTTCATGTATGTGTGAGGAAGCCTTCATGTATGTGTGAGGAAGCTTTCATGTATGTGTGAGGAAGCCTTCATGTATGTGTGAGGAAAGCCTTCAGGTATGTGTGAGAAGCCTTCATGTATGTGTGAGGAAGCCTTCATGTATGTGTGAGGAAACCTTCATGTATGTGTGAGGAAGCCTTCATGTATGTGTGAGGAAGCCTTCAGGTATGTGTGAGGAAGCCTTCATGTATGTGTGAGGAAGCCTTCATGTATGTGTGAGGAAGCCTTCATGTATGTGTGAGGAAGCCTTCAGGTATGTGTGAGGAAGCCTTCATGTATGTGGAGGAAGCCTTCAGGTATGTGTGAGGAAGCCTTCATGTATGTGTGAGGAAGCCTTCATGTATGTGTGAGGAAGCCTTCATGTATGTGGTAGGAAGCCTTCATGTATGTGTGAGGAAGCCTTCATGTATGTGTGAGGAAGCCGTCAGGTATGTGTGAGGAAGCCTTCATGTATGTGTGAGGAAGCCTTCATGTATGTGTGAGGAAACCTTCATGTATGTGTGAGGAAGCCTTCATGTATGTGTGAGGAAGCCTTCATGTATGTGGTAGGAAGCCTTCATGTATGTGTGAGGAAGCCTTCAGGTATGTGTGAGGAAGCCTTCATGTATGTGTGAGGAAGCCTTCATGTATGTGTGAGGAAGCCTTCATGTATGTGTGTGAGGAAGCCTTCATGTATGTGTGAGGAAGCCTTCATGTATGTGTGAGGAAGTCTTCATGTATGTGTGAGGAAGCCTTCATGTATGTGTGAGGAAGCCTTCATGTATGTGTGAGGAAGCCTTCATGTATGTGTGAGGAAGCCTTCATGTATGTGTGAGGAAGCCTTCATGTATGTGTGAGGAACCTTCATGTATGTGGAGGAAGCCTTCATGTATGTGTGAGGAAGGCTTCATGTATGTGTGGGAAGCCTTCATGTATGTGTGAGGAAGCCTTCATGTATGTGTGAGGAAGCCTTCATGTATGTGTGAGGAAGCCTTCATGTATGTGTGAGGAAGCCTTCATGTATGTGTGAGGAAGCCTTCATGTATGTGTGAGGAAGCCTCCATGTAATAAGTTAGAGGAAGCAAGAATATCATAGGTATTATCTACTACATATATACAAATACGTTAACAAGGCACAGTATGTGTGTTCATAGCATTTTACTGAGAAGACGTTTCGCCCGCCAAGAACATCGTCAGTTCTCCCTGCAGGAGGAAACGTTGTCTCTATAAAATGTTATAAAGAGTGCATAGTATATATTAAGCAATAACAATTATGATTATTATTAATATCAATCAGTAATCAGTAATACCTAGCCTATTGTTGCCCAGGTTCGCGTTATCACTAATTGCTGCAGCTCTGGGGGTGACTCAGCCTTCGACCTCCAGATAATTCATTCAGCTGGATAATACAGCCTGGGGGAATGGGGCTGGGGATGGAGCTAGCGAGGGGGCTGGGGTGAGGGCTGGGAATGGAGCTGGGGAGGGGGCTGGGGTGAGGGCTGGGGAGGGGGCTGGGGAGGGGGCTCGGGAGGGGGATGGGGAGGGGAAAAGGGCCAACAATGGCTTCAAGCCTCCCTGAACTTGAGGGATCCTTACCTCCCTCCCTGCGTTATCGACCCGTTATCGTAATGATAGCCAGTTCTTGAGCTGAGGACAATGGCCTCGTGATGATGTCATTAACGATGGTTCCGAATGGTTTATGCTCGTTATAAAAGGCCTCTTCATTACCTTTTTTTCTTTTAACAACTAAAGACCGTAAATTTTATTACTAGGAAGAACTGTGTATTAATTACCGCTTCAATGTTATTTACATAATGATGAATTACACTGCTAAAGGAGATTTACATAATAAATTAATTACTGTTGCAAAGTGATTTACATAAATATTATCGGAATTTAGGCAATTTGTCTAATAAATAAATAGAATAATATGATATACTAAATAATTAATAAATAGTTTAGTACTAATATCATTCCAAAATATGATAAAGTTCTGCTGTGATTATTAATCCGGTGGATTAGTAAGCCTGGATAACCCAGTAAGGTCAGATTGTTATCAGTCCGGCTTATATCAGCTGGGGGGGTCTTGTACACCTCTCCCCCAGTATGCGACCCACATCACTCGCCTATCGCTGCTAGGTGAACAAGGGCTGCAAGTGCAAAGAAACATGGCTAACGTTTCCACGCGAGCAGGGGATCGAACCCTGGTCCCTCGGTGTGCGAGATAAGGCAGCTACCAATTGAGCAACGAAGGATTTTGCCAATTGTAAGCTTCTTTAGCTCTGGAACACTATACTACATGTCAACACAGCCCTTTCATAACACTTCCACTAGTATTTGTCCCCCCTTTTTTTTTTGAGAGGGTTGCATTTAGACCGCTTCATTAAGCGCTTTGTGATTGGCCATAATGAGCACACAAATTGTTTTAACACACCGTTGGGAACTACGTATTGAAGTTTGTTGATCTCGGGGACCACGTATTGAAGTTTGTTGATCTCGGGGACCACGTATTGAAGTTTGTTGATCTTGGGGACCACGTATTGAAGTTTGTTGATTTTGGGAACTACGTATTGAAGTTTGTTGATCTCGGGGACCACGTATTGAAGTTTGTTGATCTCGGGGACCACGTATTGAAGTTTGTTGATCTCGGGGACCACGTATTGAAGTTTGTTGATCTCGGGGACCACGTATTGAAGTTTGTTGATCTCGGGGACAACGTATTGAAGTTTGTTGATCTTGGGGACCACGTATTGAAGTTTGTTGATTTTGGGGACCACGTATTGAAGTTTGTTGATCTCGGGGACCACGTATTGAAGTTTGTTGATCTTGGGAACTACGTATTGAAGTTTGTTGATCTTGGGGACCACGTATTGAAGTTTGTTGATTTTGGGGACCACGTATTGAAGTTTGTTGATCTCGGGGACCACGTATTGAAGTTTGTTGATTTTGGGAACTACGTATTGAAGTTTGTTGATTTTGGGGACCACGTATTGAAGTTTGTTGATCTTGGGGACCACGTATTGAAGTTTGTTGATCTTGGGGACCACGTATTGAAGTTTGTTGATCTCGGGGACCACGTATTGAAGTTTGTTGATCTTGGGGGACCACGTATTGAAGTTTGTTGATCTTGGGGAGCACGTATTGAAGTTTGTTGATCTTGGGGACCACGTATTGAAGTTTGTTGATCTTAGGGACCACGTATTGAAGTTTGTTGATCTTGGGGATCATGTATTGAAGTTTGTTGAACTTGGGGACCACGTATTGAAGTTTGTTGATCTTGGGGACCACGTATTGAAGTTTGTTGATCTTGGGGATCATGTATTGAAGTTTGTTGATCTTGGGGACCACGTATTAAAACTTGATGATCTGGGTATGTTCTTATGTATCTAAACTTAGGTCAGTTTCAGTTTGGTTTATGCTGATGTTCAACCACATATACCACAGAAAATTACTATCATTACTACTACAATACTACTAATACTATTACTACTAGTACTACTACTAGTACTACCACAGAACTAATGCTACTACTTCTACTAGAGTGTTTCTAATACTATTACAGTACTAGTACTACTATTACTACTACAGAACTACTGATATTGCTACTACTACTGCAGTACTTTACTACTACTGCTACTGTTACTACTGCTGCTACTACTATTACTACTGCTACTACTGCTACTACTACTGCTACTACTACTACTACTACTACTACTACTACTACTACTACTACTACTGCAGTGCTTCTACTACTGCTACTGCTACTACTACTATTACCACTGCTACTACTGCTACTATTACTACTACTACTGCAGTACTTCTACTACTGCTACTACTACTACTACTACTGTTACTACTGCTGCTACTACTGTTACTACTGCTACTACTGCTGCTATTACTACTACTGTACTACTACTACTACTACTACTACTACTACTAATGCTACTACTACTACTACTACTACTACTACTACTACTACTACTACTAATGCTACTACTACTACTACTACTACTACTACTACTACTACTACTACTACTACTACTCCTACTACTACTACTACTACTACTGCTCTACATATCAGTGATTCCCAGAAAACTAATCTGGGTAAGACTCCTGCAAATTGTTCTTGCTTCTATTCTCATAATTTCTACCTGATAATGAAATATCTTAGTGTGTCAGAGGTTGATGGGGTTTAAAGCCTATCTACTACACCAAAGTCATTAAGGCTGCATGTCATCTGTTCACCACTAGTCAAGAATATTTTAACACTAAAATATTTGAGTTTTTTTTTTTGGGGAAGTTTTGAATTTTTTTTTTAAATTTTATTAATTTTTATTTTAAAAATTTTAAAAATTAAAATTTTTATTTTCTTATTTTAAATTAGGGGTTTATTTTTTTTATTGAGCAAACTTAAAAAAAAAACTTTTTTTTTTAAAAAATTTTTTTTAAAGACAACTTTTTCCACAAAATAAGTATATTCACTATTTTTTTTAAATTTAAACACAAATTTTTAACGAACAAAAATTTCCACACTGGTTTACCCCCCTTCCCGTTTAACTGGGTCACACACATGTTTAGTACTATTCCCAAAAAACAAAATTATTTTTTAAACACACAATATATTCGGTTTAACCCCCAAGCTACTACTATTTCAAACACGCTAATTACACTTTTTGGATTTACCCACAATAATATACTGTTCAAACCCGTTTGTTACCCCAATTTTTTAAAATACACCCTACATTACACACACAAAATTACACTACAAATCACAACTAATAATACAGTAAACAAAAAAATTTTCCCCTTTTATACCACACTAAAAACCCTACATTTTTACCCCTGCTTAAAATTCAGTGATTCCAAAACCAAACTGGTTAACTCTGTTGCGTTTTTAATTTCAAATTAAAAAATATTAAGGGTCAGGGTTGAGGGGTTTAGTACACCAAAATTAAAAGGGATTTTGGAATTTAACCAGAAAACACCAAAATAAAAAAAAATTTTTTTTTTTTGTTTTATATGATTTTTAAATTTTAAAAATTTAAAAAAAAAAAATAATTTAAAAAAAAAAAAAAATTAAAAATTTTAAAAAAGGATAATTAACTAATTTTTACAGTTTTTAAGAAGGAAAAAACCCGTGGGGGCCTTACGGGGTTTCCCAAAATTGGAATTAAAAAATTTTCAGTAAAAAAGGGAAAAATTTTCCCAAAACCAAAAAAAAAAATTACCCCCGGTTTTTTGAAAGGGGGGTAGGGGGCCCCGCCATGGTTACACGTAAGGGTTCACAACCGAATTGGATTACCAGTACAGTGCACACCACGAACATGGTTCCCACGAAAGGGGTTAAAACCCGTAGGTTTAACTCAGGAATTCAACCCCAGAAAAAACCCGACAGGGGTTAAAAAGGATAACTGGTTACAGAAAAACGGTTAAGAAGGGGTTCACAACCCGAAAAGGTTTAAAAGGGGGCCAAAGAAAATGTTCCCGGGGGGGGGTTTAAAGGAGGGTTGAGTAACTAAAGGGGAAATGTCAAAAGACCCACAAAAAAAAACAACCCAAAAAACAACAACAAAAAACACAACAAAAAAACCCCCCCAAAAAAATGGGGGTTTTAGGGGGGAAGAAAAGGATAAGGGTTTTAGCCCAAAGTGGGAAATAGTGGAGTTTTTTCCAGTCTAAATGTACAGTGGGTAAACCAATTTGGTATAGCAAAAAAAACACGAAAAAAAAACCAAAAACCCCCCAAAAACCAAAAACCCCCCAAAAACCCCAACCACACCCCCCAAAAAATTCAAAATAAGGGGAAAAAAAAAAAAAAAAGCAAAAAAAAAAAAACCAAGGGGGGAAAAAGGAGAATAAAAAAAAGGGGAAAAAAAAAAAACCATGAGGGAAAGGGGAAAGAGGGGGGGAAAAAAGGAAGAAAAAGAGAAAGAAAAAAAAAAAAGGGGGGATTAAAAGGAAGTTTTGGGAAAGAAATTTTAAATATGGCCCAAGGAGTGGGGATAACGAGGGGGGAAAAAAAGGGGAACAGGAGGAGAGAGGAGGGGGGGAAAGGGGAGGGGCGGAGGGGGGAAGGGAGGAGGGGAGGGGGGCAGGAGAGAGGGGAGAAGAGCAAAAAGGGAAGGCTAAAAGATTTAACCCCTTTTTTTCCATTTTCTAAAAAATTTTCTCTTCATTTTTCCCCCCCCCCTTTAAATTAAAAAGGGAAAAACCACCCCCCCAAAAAAAAGAAAATAAAAATGTGGGAAAACCGCAGAAGGCTACGGGCCCAAACTAGGCGGTATAAAAAAAAAGAATGTTCTTATGACCCCCTGTACCCCCTAACACAAAATTTTAATTTAAAACCTTTCCCTTCCCCCACCAAAAAAATGAGAAAAGTGGAGGTTATGGGATAAAAGACTACAATCGGTACTTAAGGTAAACATAGATTCACTGACTTGGATTTAGTTAAGTATTAATTTCAAGGGGAGGGTTTACAAACTTTCAGTTTAAATGAAAGTTAATTTAAAGGAAAAAAAAATAGCATAGATTTCATTTTTCCAACCGACCAGGATTTTTCAGTGTTCGTCATGATACTGAGAGGGAAGCCTGTGTTTTCAAGGTGGACCGTGACGTTACCCACCGTCAAAAAGCGACCTGTGGGGGGCTCATGGGACCAGGACAAATGGGCCAAAATTGACCATTTTCCCAAATTCCTCCTTCTTTAGTGCTTTAGTTTTTCCGGAGTTCCATGACCCCTTTCCCCTCTCGTTTGGCTCTTTTTCATTCTTTTTACCCTCAGCCCCAAAGGAAAATACCAGAGCCTTTCTATCCATTACCCCCTTTCCCGGAGTTTACGGGAGAGTTCCGGGGGGTCAACTCCCCCCTGCCGGTCTGTGACCAGGCCCCAGTATTTTAAGTAGATTATATGCAACGTTATTTTCTTTATTCCGAAAAAGTTTCGCCTCCCCGTACCTTCTTCAGTTTAATACGAGGCAGCGGGAAGCGTAGAGATGTAAAAACGTGTAAGCAGCCCTACGATGAAGCAACGATGTAAGCAGTCCATGATCCATGTGGTGGTCAGCCCCGACCACCCTAGGGGTTTTTGAAATTTGGGGATACGAGGACATGTTTTCTTAAGTATTTTACCCCTTTGTTTAGGGGGTAAGAAAGAGGGTATCTAGAAATTTAAACCCCGACACAGTTTTAAAGGGAGGGATGCCCAAAAACCAAGAAACGAGATAAGTAACTGTGTCGTATACAAAAAGGGGTCAGGGTGAAATCAATGAATTGCCCCCCCCCCCCCAAAAAAAAAAAACGTGAGGCACGCTCCCCCCCCCCCACACAAAAAAACAACACACCACACACACACACACCTCACTTTACCTTCCTCAAAAATAATTAAATTTCAGAAAAAACTAATCCTGGCTATGAAGGGCGTCGCCATTTTGGCCTCCCAAAAAAAAGGAAGAGGAAAAAAAACTTTTTAGATTAGAAGTTTGTGAGAAAAGTGAGATGATGGAATTTAAGTTCCCCTTTGTGTAACGGGTTGGAGCCGCGTGGTATGTCTGTTCCGCAACCCCGGCAATGATTTCCAGTGCAAGGCTTTGGGGGAAGGGACAAATGGATTTGTGTACTCAAAGCACACACGAAAGGGTGTGTAGTTCGTTTTTATAGCGAAGGACGATAAGAATTTTTTTAGACCCCCTTTTGTGAGATAGAGAATTTAAGTGCTGGTCCCCTCATTCCTGGGTAAAAACACCACCCCTGGAGGGGAAAATTTTAGGCAGGGTGTGTTCAGCTTGGTGGACTTGGTCGGGGGGGGGGAGCTTGGTGGTCTTTTTCGTGGTGTGGTCAGATTGGTGGTTTGGTAGTGGGGTTTTTTCGCTTGGTGGCTCTGGTCGTGGTGTGGTCGACTTGGGGACTGGTCAGGGGTGTGGTCGCTCTGGTGGACTTTTGTGGTGTGTTCAGACTTGGTGGGCTTGGTCAGGGTGTGTTCAGTTGGTGGATTTTGGGAGTGGGTTTTTCAGACTTGGTGGGCTCTGGCGTGGTGTGTTCGACTCTGGTGGACTTGGTCAGTGGTTTGTTCGGGCTTGGTGGACTCTGGGCTTGGTGGTTAGAATTTTTGGTTGGTCATGGTGCAGTAGAGGTGGGGTTGGTCAGTGGTGGGTCGGGTTGGTGGACTCTGGTCGTGGTGTATCCGACTCTGGTGGACTTGGTCGTGGTGTGGTCGACTTTGGTGGACTTGGTCAGTGGTGTGTAGTTTGGTGGGTCTGGTCAGTGGTGTGGTCAGACTTTGGTGGCTCGGTCAGTGGTGTGTAGACTTGTTGGATTGGTTGTGGTTTTAGTCAGACTTGGTCGTGGTGTAGTCGCTTGGTGGGGCTTGGTCAGTGGTGTAGTAGATTGGTGGATCGGGTCGTGGTGTAGTCGCCTGGTGGGCCCGGGGCAGTGGTGTAGTCAGACTCTGGTGGACTTGGTCAGTGGGTGTTCGATTGGTGGTTGGTCAGTGGTTTTGTTCAGACTTGGTGGACTCTGGTCAGGGTGTGTTCAGACTCTGGTGGACTCTGGTCAGTGGTGTGTTCAGACTCTGGTGGACTCTGGTCAGTGGTGTGTTCAGAATCTGGTGGACTCTGGTCAGTGGTGCAGTCAGACTGGTGGGCTCTGGTCAGTGGTGTGGTCAGACTCTGGTGGACTCTGGTCAGTGGTGTAGTCAGACTCTGGTGGACTCTGGTCAGTGGTGTGGTCAGACTTTGGTGGACTCTGGTCAGTGGTGTAGTCAGATTCTGGTGGGCTCTGGTCAGTGGTGTGGTCAGACTTTGGTGGACTCTGGTCAGTGGTGTAGTCAGACTCTGGTCAGTGGTGTAGTCAGACTCTGGTGGACTCTGGTCAGTGGTGTAGTCAGACTCTGGTGGACTCTGGTCAGGGTCAGAGAGGAGTGACACAAACTAACCTCAATTCCCCTAGATACCGTCAGAACTTCCACTATGGTCACAAACGCCTCTACACACAACCTGAACCGACTGACACCATCAACACCTGCTAACACAAGCAACACCTGCTAACACCAACAACACCTGCTAACACAAGCAACACCTGCTAACACAAGCAACACCTGCTAACACCAACAACACCTGCTAACACAAGCAACAAGGCCCTCCTGGGCTACTTGACCGCCTGGGCCTCCCTCTCTTCTTGTTAATTCATTTACCTCTCCTGTTGATCTTGTTATGTTAATTTCATCAGGGACGCTACTCCTCTCTCTCCTGCGTGCGTGTGTGTGTGTGTGTGTGTGTGTGTGTGTGTGTGTGTGTGTGTGTGTGTGTGTGTGTGTGTGTGTGTGTGTATGCTGGAGTTGCAGCATGAATGGAAATAGCTGAGAGTGAAATTTTTTTCAGGGCGAGAGAGTACGAACAGAATGAATGAAGAGAAAAATTAAAATTTCGGGAACGAAATATATACCTTGCGATTAATGAGCTCATCTGTATAAAGTTGTCTGTGTGAATGACTGCGCCTTCTAACAGCACCCGGAACGACCTGATTAAATGGACTAAACGCCTGTCGACTACACGAGGGTCATCAAGACCCTCGTGTCTTGATGACTTGTGTAGTCTATATATATAATATATATATATATATAATATATATATATATATATTATATATATATATATATATATATATATATATATATATATATTATATATATATATATATATATATATAAGGAATTTCCCTATTCTTTCAGAGTGGTTGTTTTGCATATATATATATATATATATATATATATATATATATATATATATATATATCTATATATATATAATATATATATATATATATATATGGAATTTCCCTATTCTTTCAGAGTGGTTGTTTTGCATATATATATATATTATATATATATATATATATATATATATATATATATATATATATATATATATATATATATAATATATAATATATATATGCAATAAGATCACAGTAAACAGATGATTTCAGAATATGCAAAACAACCACTCTGAAAGAATAGAGAAATTCCAAGCACTTTCGTGACTACTCACATTATCAAGGAACTATGTAAGTAAAGCATCCAAGGAAGCTATATAAGGGGTCTGGCCAGCACCTCACTATCAGATCCCACAACGGTTAAACACGTGACGCGCGCCGGCCCAACTGGACAGGTCCTTTGCACAACTCACCCACAAACTATTCTACCCAAGAAAATTTAAAAATTATTATTTGTCCAGTGTATTATTAAATTCTTCCCAAATTCTATTAATTATAAATGGATCTAATTTATATAAACCAAAGGAAATATTCATATTATTGTCAAAACTGCTTTTTATGAAACAAGATTCAATTATATTCCTGTCTACCATGGACTTGCTTGATACTACTTTCTCAACTTTTTGAAAATCAATTGGATGGTTAAAATCTCTTACATGAATAAATACAGCATTGGAATCTTGTCCAGTTCTAATGCTATATTTATGTTGTTTTAATCTTAGTTCGAGATTTTTACCAGTTTGACCGTAATAAACTTTATCGCAAATTTTACAAGGAATCTTATAGACACATCCATCAGCATTTTGGGGGGTAGGTGCCTGAGCCAAGACTGTCATTCCCATTAGCCCCCCTTGGGGGCGGGGATGGCAGACCAGAGAGGCCTAGCTTGTGGCTAGGCCTGGGGACAGTTGGTCCCAAAGATGAGGAGGTACTTGTGCCTCCTCCCATGGGAGACTTAGGTCTCAGACACTCACTAAAGAGGGAGTCAAGGCCGGGCCACCACTTGGAAAATGCCCGGGCCGGGAGAATACCGGCGAATATAATAATATATAATAATAATAATAATAATAATAATAATAATAATAATAATAATAATAATAATAATAATAATAATAATAATAATAATAATAATAATAATAATAATAATAAATATTAAGAAAAATATAATTTAATAATTTTGTAACATAAATTTTAGCATAAAATCAGTTAAATTTCCATATATTGATGAGTACCTGTGTATTTAACTTTACTTTTACTAAATTAAATTGTTACCGTATATTTGCCGCTTGTATTCCAAAGAAAACGGGGATGCATGAATTATAGTATACCAAAGAAAACGGGGTTGCATGACTCACAGTACATATGGGGGTAACATCGGTATTTTACATTCCAACATTGCGGGAGATATAAGTAAGTAAGTAAGTAAGTAAGTTTATTCAGGTATACACAAATACAGTTACATAGAATTATCATACATAGCAGCATATGTGTAGAGAACCTGGGATAACCCAAAAAAGTCAGACAGTGACTTATTTCCATTGGGGTCCTTTTACCTTATTATTATAATATAAAGGTTATAATATTTTCTTATTATTCTACAATGAAGATAACATCTTATTATCATACTAAAAAGACTATCTACTACACGAGGGTCATTAAGACTATCTACAATACGAGGGTCATTAAGACTATCTACTACACGAGGGTCATTAAGACTATCTACAATACGAGGGTCATTACTAGGAATATGGTAAAATTTACACGTATTTTAGCTAAAAAATAGAAAATCATTCCCCTCCCTTTCTATAGCTTCATTCATCAGACACTTTTTGGCACTCTTCTTGAACTAGTTCATGCTATGACTGGCTTTGACATGTGCGGGTAGTCTGTTCCATTCCTTTATTGCTGTACAATAAAAGGTGTCTGACGCCTGGCCACTGACTGTGGGTACTACAAAGTTGTGCTCTCTCCCCCTAGTACTATGATTGCTTTGGTTCCCAACCTTGACAAAATTGACAGCAAGATATTCTGGACCTGTTTTGTGAGCAATTTTATAAACATGATTTTAGCTTCAGTTGTTTTAAATCTGTCTTCAACATTCAGCATATCCAACTGCTGTAATTCATCCTGGCCTACATGTTCTCTTGGTCCCAGCCCCCCGGATGGAATCTTACGATTTTTTTTCTGGGTGATTTGCAGTCTACTTTCGTTTTTTTTTGTCAAGGCAGAGTACCATGAAGAGCATGCGTAATTTTATTTTGGCATTGTATAAGGGCTAGACATAGGGTCCTGCGGCCTCAGTAGGTAGACACTGTGCTTGTCTATACAGGAACTTCAGTCTGGCATTCGCTTTTTTTACTACACTGTTCCCTATCAATTCTCCTGACATGCATGGGTAAAAGGGGGAAATTCCCAGATTTTTTTAATGAAAAAAACCAAATTTAAATGGCCCTCCCCTTTTAACACTGAGCTTTAAAAAATTATTTCCCCTTCTCAGTTTATGTTTCGTAAAAAGAGTTTGGCCCTTTCAGTTTTCCCTAGGTGAAATTTGATTTTTGGTTTTACTAACCATTTGCTGCAGGACTCCATTTTCCAGTTTTTTAAAACATTTGCAAATCTTGTGGGTCTTTACCTGTCCTAACAGGCACTGTTCATTGCTTTACGTAGGAGTTTGCATTTGAACTGTTTGGATATCATTGACATAAAAAAGAATAAAAAGGGGCCCCAAAATTTACTCCCTTTGGGGGAAACTCCACATGTTTTTGGGCCCGGGGTTTCTGTTTTCGTTTTGTTGATTTTGACTATTGTTTCCTGTTGCAAAGGTTAGGATTTTAAACCAGTAAAAACAAAAAATTTCCGATAGTTTTGAAGTTTCTTACATAATTTATTGGGGTTTTGCCCAGTATTAAAGGGCCTTTTGCGGGTTTAAAGGTTTTCCATACCTATGGGTTTCCCCCTTTTAAATTTTTCGGGTTCTAGGAAACCCATCGTTTTAATAAGGGAGGTATCGGTTGAGTAGGTCTTTTTAAAGCCCGATTGATAGCTATGGGAATGCTGGTTGTTTTTAAGGTATTAAATTATTGGGGAATCCCACCCCCCCTCTCCAAAATTTTTAAATTTTTATTATACTGAGTATACAAACCGGTTTCTATAGTTGCTTACTCGGGGACCTATTTTTTTTCTTGAAGATAGGATTTAATCTGGCCCCCTTGAACCCCTCCGGTACGGTTTTATTGGTTATTGATAGTTTTTTAAAGGGAGAAATTGGGGAAATTGACGTTCAGAAGCACCATCTTTTGGGGAAACTTAGAGGGGGATGTTATCAGGGCCTGTGCTCTTGTTGGGGTTTAACTGCTTAGTTCTTTTTAAATGAAGTCATGGATACATTTAAATAGTTGACAAGGGTTTGGGGGTTCCCCCTTTTTTGGGTTTAAGGGGGGTATTTTTGAAACTTACCCAGAGTCTGTGTTAAAGGTATTTGATGCATGGTATTTTTACTTATTTGTGTTGATGCAACAGTTGTGTAGTGGGGAAATTAAAAAAAATTTTGCCCCCTTTGGATTTTTCGTGGCATACCTCTTTATCGATGTAAAAGTCTATTTTTGGCCTATCTACTGGCTTAGGGGCTATCCCCCAAATGTTTTATTTGTTGCCAGAGTTTCCCTGGGGTTTTATGCTTTTACTCTTAAATTTTTGGGGAAATTAGTGCTTTGTTTTTTTGTCCCTTTTTAAAAAGCTCTTTTCCTTTTTCTCCCCCCTTTGGAATTATTTAGGGCTGCAATATCCGTCTGTTTGCTTTAAATTTTTTTAAAGCAGCTGGTTTGAATTTCTTATTATCAAAATATCCCCCAGTATTCACCCCGGGTTCATTTTTCTTTTTAATCCTAACCTCTTTAACTGGTGAAATTATTTTTCAAAAAATGGTATTGAACATTGTTTTGAAATTTTCCCGGGCCCATCGTTTACGTCCGTGAAAAACTTGTTATCTCTTTTCCATTTCACAATTGTGTACCCTTTTTTCCGGGTTTTTTTTTTTACTGTTTTTTCTATTTGGACCTATTTTTATTGTCCTTTTTAACCCTTTACCTATCCCTAGTGATTTTCCTGGTTGCAGTAAAAGGGATAAA